AGATTGAATAACAGAAGAGTGCTTGCAAGTCTAAGGCATTAAAATTGATCTTGAATTTTTCTTTATGGTTGTAGTATGATGGACAGAATTAGTCTTCTCTTATTTATTCAAAAATTTTAGTTTATATTTTCATTAATAAAAGCAGTGCTAATAAGTGAACACATGGTTCTTTGGAAAGGATCATCCAGTGCTATGTTGAATTTGGAGAGACTAGCAAGTTATAGCAGGTTACGTTCTGCATTTCTTGCTTTCTCCTGTTAAAAAGAAAAAGACAGTAGCCAATTCACCTCAAATTGCATACTAAGAAAAGACTGGGCTTTCTAGGCATATTTTCCAAACAAGTACATTTCTAGCTCTTGTTCCATTTGAAATATGTATTGCTTAGACTAAAATCACATAGTTGTGAATAAAATCAGTTGAAAAGTCCCAGTTGTTCACTCATTTTCTCTTTTTTAACTGAGGAAAAAAAATGACTTCATTTTCTCCTTATGGTAAGTAATTTTACATGTCAGTCAAAGTTTTAAAGATTCAAGAATACACTAAGACATTTGTGAAGCACATTGTATTTAACAAGATTTTTCTGGTAGTTCTACTTTCTGTAGACCTGCCTTGGTTTGGAGATTGTACTTTAAATGCCGTAAAAACATGTTCAGTGTGTGTCACAAAGTGCCAGACAGCAATACACACGTAAAATGAATTTTAGCTGTTATTTGTACTTTGTTGTTGTTGTTGTTGTTTTGTCTATTTTTTTCCTTGGTGCTTATTTCTGTTACATTTTTCCAAAATGTCTTTCAGCAGAGTCCACCCACTGTGACCTGCAAAGTGTCCTCATTCAAGCCTTTTTCCTCATACACAAAAAAGAGAAATCACCAACAAAAAAAAGCATTTCTAACTTTACACAGTGACAATTTTGGAGCGTATTCTTTGCAAATTCCCTTCTCCCCTGGCTGTCAATGGGTGCCAGTCCCCAGACTCCTGGTGGCAGTGTGTCCTGCTCTTCTTCCGTCACACCAAGTGGTCATCCCATCTTGGATTTGGGACAGCATCGTGAAAACACATCCCCCATGGGCTTTGTGGCTGAGCATTGAATTCGCTGACGAACCAATCCACCTCAGCAGCTCTAATATTATTAATCCAGGAAGGCTATTTTCCTGAAGAGTTTTATGCAGGAATATACAAGGGAAGGCGAAGAGGGAGGCAGCGGGGAGCTGCTGAAGGGAGACTGGCTGCCAAAGCCACACGTGGGCAGCTGCAGCCCAAGTGTTGACATCTCCTGCTCTCTGGAGCCGAGAGTCTAGCAGAAGAAACAGCGTTGGCTGTTAATATTAGCAGTGTAGAAAACTTGTTTTAAGGTGTTTAGGCTAAAGAGAGGACAGGGATGTGTGAAATTTAACTGTCCAGGCTGATAAAAATCACTAGCATTAAAAAGAAAAAAAAAAGAAAGAAAGAAAACATGTTGGACATCAACATGGAAATTTATGGTATCATATTGTCACTTTAAAAAAAAAAAGCTTTTGAACTTTAAAAATTTGGAAGAGCAAATAGGTTTTAAATCTATGAGAAAATTAAAAATACACCTAAGATCTACCATATTAGAATTCAGATGTTTCGGGTTAGATTCAGCTTCTGAAAGATCCCCTAATGGTCCATTTCACGTTTATTAAATGCTCGATTTCTTTCAAGAGAGAGGAGAGAGGAATTTTAAGGCTAATTGATAGTTTGCCTGCTTTCTTTTTAAACTGAGTAGACATTACTCTCTGTTTTTTAATATAGATATTCTAGTGCCATTGCCGTAAAATAAATTCCTGCCTGAAAACAATGTTAGGTTTAATGTCACAGATTTCAAAGCCTGAAATTCCAGGATTAAGGGAGGCTTTTTTACACATTTACATATCTTTTAATCAAGTGTTTACAGCGTGTAGTTCTTTGTGAGGCTCACAGTTCTTTTCAGGGAAGAAAAAAAAATCTGACTGGTGACCTCATCTAAATGAGTAATTCAGGGTTATCAAATCAGACAGCACGGGACTGGAGGAACCAAGGGTAACACAGGGTACAGCCATTACCTATTAGTATAACTACACATTAATTTTAAATTGAATTTTTAAAACCTAATTGAGCAGCATTTTCAAGCTCTGTTCAGTGCGAGCAGGACATAAATTGAAACAGTATCTGCCAGAAACCCTCTAATAAGCAGCAAGCGCTGCTGCCTTTCTTTTAAAATCAGTAGTAGTGCACTGACATTGAAAAGAAAAGTTTAATTAAAAGATCATGACAGTGTATCTGAACTCTGACTACCTAATGGCTTACCAGCAGAAGACAGACGTATTGAAACGAATGCAGGGTATTTCCTTCAATATGTATTTTTAAGTGAGAAATCTCATCTGTTTGAACTTCTGATAATTTTAATGACTGAAAAATATTTTAATGGGTAAACTGTACATGAAGATAGACTTTGAAGATATAATTGCACAGCTAGATTCACAAGAAAAATCCTAATACAGAGAAATTTAAGCAACTACTCTAAGCCTTGTAAGATAAAGGAGTAGGAAATCATTAATGTAAATAGCAAAGAAAATCCTAGGTTTTGCTGTTGGAGTAGAACTGTGAAGCTGTTTAAATTCCTTTTTTTTTTTTGATTTATTGCTCTAAAAGTGCTTTTTTATTTTTTTTTAAATTAGAAGCCTAGTTCACTTTACTTCTTTAGCATTAAGCATGTAAACTAGCTGAAGTAAGCAAGTTTTCAGCTTTGGAGAGTAAATTATTTTACAAAGCAAGTTTTTTGATACGCTTCTCAACTACTGTCTGAGAGCTTTACATTAAGATTTAAAGCACTGGACTTAATGAAGGCAAGGTCTTAATTTTAGGAAAGGGTCTCTGATATTCACTTTTTCCTCCCATGGTGGAACAAAAATCATTGTATTAGCTGAGTTATTACTATCATATCTAGCATGGTATCAGACTAATAACTTCATTGAAGCTTCATTGAACTTCATTGAGCCAATGAGGCTTCTCTTTTGTGCAAAGCTTTAAAAATGTTAACAAACTTTCCTAACTCTGCTGGTTATGAGAGGGAGGAGGGAGTACGTAAGGCCCTGGAATGGCTGGGTTAAGCAATGGTAGATCCCCACTCGCACGTGTACAACGTAGGCTGCTCTTGGCCTGCAAGCACCACTCAAGATAATGTCCACAAAATAAGTAGGCCTTGACAGTCAAGGCAGGGGGTATTGAGGTAGAGAGGAGCTGAGTACCCTTCAGAAGCAACTGCTATTTTCTGTTTTGGAGATTTGCTTTCATGTTTGGCATCTTGCTGTGTTTTCTGCTCTGGTAGGGGCTCAGCCTGCTCCAGGTATAGTGGTAGCCCTTGGTGGCACTTCTGGCATAATGGTGCAAAAAAAAAAAAAAAAAGGGCAAAAAGAAAAGAGGAGGAGACTGAGTAGGTCTTTTCAGCCATCGTGAGATGAGGAAGACTCACCCCAACGCAATGGCCTCCAGTGAGGGTGATGTCAAGGTCTGTGTGGTGGAACATCTGTAGACAGAAGGAGGCAGCGCTCAGCCAGGATCGTGTTAACAAGCATTTCCATCCAAGGGCTGCAGTGATGCCTGGGAACAGCACTCTGTGGCTGCTGCAAGAAAGATGGCAGAAGCTAAAATACATCTGTTTAACTTTTATTAATAGTTAACACAAAAACTTCTTGGAGCGAGCTTGAAGCCACGCTGAATCCCCTACGAATCTACAGTGAACCTGTTTAAAGTGATTAACCCGTGTGAAGATCACAAACAGTAGATATGAAATAAAGTGTTTCTGTGTCATGAAATGCTCCTGGCTGTGACAGAGGCTTGCCAAGCCATGTATGCAGCACAACTCATTTCCCTTCTCTCCCCTCTGGATTTTGCCACGGGCTCTCAGGTTATGAAATTCTGTAGCTCAGCAGTGCTGCTTCTCAGGTTTGACAGGTAGCGCCGAGTCTAAGACCTCAGTGATATCCCTCGTTTCAGGGGTTGATTAGAGCTAAAGAGGTCCGTGGGAGGTCACATTTTGTTGCGTACCAAGGAGCAGGCAATGCAGTTACAAGGGAAATGAGGATGTCTTTCTGAGCACTGAGCAAAGCTGAGTGTGCAGGAACTGCTGTCTGGTTGGGGAATAACAGCATGTAGCTGGTCCACAGGAGGGAGAAGACAGTGCTGATAAGACAGTGGTGTGCATTTTCTTGTGTTATTAGTTTTTCTTGCATTTATTTCAGGGGAGAGGTCTATTTTTTTATTGAAATTGAAATTCAGTTCAAGTGTGTGGAGATCAGGTGAAAGTGTCACATAAATGGCAAATCTGTTTCTGCTTGACAGGCACATGCCCTAGTTAGCTTCAGAAGGACTGAATTTTTCACTAATTTTTGGTTCTGATTTTTTCAGATCTCTGTAAGCATTTTCTAAATTAGATGTATTCGTTCTGTTTTAGAAGTTCATTTCCCTCCCTTTTTATTTCAAATAGCTTTAGAGCTTTAGATACATGTTGCATAGTATACCTAAGGTACAATTTCAGAAGCTATTGAGTTTGAATAGATAAAAAGGTAAGCATTAAAAAGGAAACATTGGTTGGTTGCTGAAAAATAGCTGCTGGAAACTTGTACCATCTCTCTATGATAAATTTTTATTATTATCATTATTATTATGTTGTTTAAATTTCTTTTTACAGTACACCAATATGTCTGTTGCAATTCTACTTTAAAACTGAATGAATTTTCTCAGGAATGCAACTGCTCCTTCTAGGCTTTCCTAGGCAGTTAAGGAGTGTGCAGTTTGGTGCGAGTTGCCACCAAAACTTGATTCTGAAATGCTTTGGGATACCTGCCTATCTCTTGATGGGACCTAACGTGCTGTGTGCTCTCCTACCAAGGAGAGGTGGCACCAGGAGATGCATCTGGGGTCTTTTTGCATGCTGTTTGTATGATGATCATGATAAACGTCATGGTATTACAAGATACATTGGTTTCTTTTATTTTCAGAGAAGAAATGGAGAAGATATTCCAGTTGCTCAGACTAAAAATATCAATCACAGAAGATTTGCTGCTACCTTTAAGTTGCAAGAAGTGACAAAAACTGACCAGGATTTATACCGCTGTGTAACTCAGTCAGAAAGAGGTTCTGGAGTGTCAAATTTTGCTCAACTTATTGTTCGAGGTAAAGTCTCAGTTTTATTCAATTAAATGCTCTTAATGTCAGCACTTTCTACTTACGCTTTCATCTGGAATGATTATACAAATGTAGCACTATGAGGCTCCTGAAACTGTCAAAAAACATGACTGTGGTTAGCAACATTTCTAACTTTTTAAACATAGAATGCCTCCCAATAAAATCCCTCATCTTTTAATGCATATAGCTTGCCCATATGCAATTCAGTAGATGGTGGTTGTTGACCTTAAGGTGCAAACTGATTAACATTTCATAAATATTTTTACAGATATGAGAGAATCCGCTGTAGGTCGGTTCGCTTTTAAAATCCATTGCCTTGAGCAGACTGGTAGTACAGCAAATAACACATTGTTCTGTTACCGGGGAGACAGTTATATAAGAATAGTTTTAAACTTTCCCCTTATCCAAGGACTGAAAGTATTACGGAGATTTGCCTGTGATGATTTCTGACCTGTGGAGTAGGAGAAAAGGAAAAAGAATGAAGAACTTGCTTTTCCACTTGGAATATTTTTCAATGTAGTTCATTCAGAAGCCTGTTGGTGTATGGAGATGTATCACTGGCTATATATTTTATTCCTTTTGTATTTTGGAAGCATGAAAACCAACTCACAAAGAATTGTGGTTGAACGTAAGAACATGTAGTTCAGTTCTCATTTCACTCGCTCTTTGCCTTGGGATAAATCATTAAGGCTCTCCTTGCCTAATTGTATGCCCTGGAAAATTCCGCTCTTTACCTGCTTTCTAGGTTTGTGGTGAAGCTTAATCTTTCCGAGTGTGATGGAGAAGTTCTGTGGTGTTCAAAATGAGTCTGTGATGCTGCTGCCTGGCAAGCAGCTGGTTTGGCCAGACAAGGTAAATGCAGGTATGAGGTGTCCAAAAGGGCTCTCACTTGACCCATCGATCCCACAAGAGATGACTTAATCAGCAGTCATCTGGGATCAGTTATTGTATCTGGAACCGGGACAGGGAAACAAAATCATCCTCAGCTTGTACAGTAAAGAGAACATAGTAAGTGCACTAAGAGATTTGATTTTTGTAATGGCTGCCAGACGTCTTTTTTTTCCTTTGAAGACCAGTTGAGATCAAGTAGATTTAAAACCTTCTATGCAGCACCAATGAAAAATGGCTGCTGTTGAACATACATATAGATTTAGACAATATGTTAACAGTTTGTTTTGTTCTGTACATGTGCTCTTTTGTCCAGCAAAGTGCAAGATAATCTTCATCCTAACATAATATAATGAATCTTTTTACGGTATGAAAACTGTCCTTCTGTCTTACTGTAAGGAAAGCAAGAAAATTGGACATCTTTTTCCAGGAAATGACAGATTTGCATTTTTATAATTAAAAAAGAGAAATAAAAAGGTGTTAAAAGTACTATTTCTTTCAAAAAGCAGGTAACCATATTGGACTTCAGAGTGCTGTCTTTTTAAAAGCAGAATATTGTTCTGCTGAGAAGCTTGAGTCATTTAATAGAGAATACCATCTTAAGATGGAACTTGTTAGCTAGTTCTACCCACAACAGCTATATTGGCTTTATACTTTCATGCTATTTTTACTTTACTACTTTGTGCTTTTTCCACATTAGAGATAAAAAAAATAAAGCTAAAATTCTTGTTTTCCAAAGGGAAAAATAGTATTCTAAAAACATTTTCATCTATTTGACACCATGGTAAAGAAAAAAAGATATATATCTTACAATAGGATTTATTGCTCGCTGTTAGATTTGAAAAACAATATGCAGTAATATATTTTCATGTTTGTCTGGATAACCACTAAATAAATCTTGTTAGCCAAAAAAACATACCCTCGGGGATCAGCTACCCTGGTGTTAAAACTGTACTGAAAATTAACCATAATGACAGGTCCTATATCTCAGTGGCACTTTAAAGCTGACATCCTGCTACATGGATACAAAAGATGGTAATTTTAAAGGAAATTTTTGGGCCACTGATATGAATTGCCTTTAATAAGAGCTGGCATAGTATTGCCCATTGTCAACGATGACCCAGGGGTAAGAGTTTATTAGTGCGTTTCCTTCTAAACCAAAAGTGACAGGGCATGCTTGGGGCCTTTTTGTTGCTGTTTGTAGCAAATGAAAATTTCACTGCAGAATCCTCACACTGAAGAGTATTGATCTGTGTGTTCGCACAGCCAGAGGAGGAAAAAAATGCACTGAGACACAATTTACTTTGTCATGGCTGGGGTATTGCCTCCAGAGCATTTTGAGTAATGATAAGGTCTTTGGTTTGTAGAAGCCAAACTTTATTGACAACAGTTGTTATTAAAGAGCAAGAGATAAAGAACAGTGGTTGTTGCCCAATAACTCAAAGCTTTGAAGTCCATGCGTTTAGTTACATGGCAGAGAACTTTGCATATACCACATCTGTACTAAAGTGTGGTTATAGGTGTAGACACATCTTCCACTTTTCTGATGAGGAGTCTGTAAGTTAGCATTAGGAATGAAAATCTCTGGTTGTATTATTTACATCATATTGAAACATCATTGTTTTGAGCTTTAACAGAAGTGCTTTCAACTGAGTTCTTAATTTTATTTTAAAGGCAGAGACCTGGGAGTTATGGCATACTACCACAGATCGAGAGACATGTCTCAGCTACTTCAACTCTTTTTTTTTTTCTACAATAATAAGACTAGCATAGGATTTCTAATTCAATTGCAACAATTTACCAAGTGTAGTTTCAGTCAATAGTTTTATGTCTCGCCCTTACTTTGACAGTCTTCAGCTTTGAGCTCAGCGGCTATGTTGTATTGATTTTTAGATGGTTTCTATGGCATTGCTATCATTCCTGGGTAAGCGTAAGAGCAGCTCTCCCTTTCCTCCATCTTTCCTTTTACAGGAAGCTTGTTGTTACTGTTAGTTGACTTACCCTCTTGAATAGGTCCTTCAGTCTAATCCTCTGTTTATATTTTCCTTTGATGGCTGCTAAATTGGCAATTTCTGTGAAGCTAATTTGTTGAGGTCTTGGCAGTTGTCTGCTTTGGAACTTTAAGATGATGATGGAAGGAAAAATAGCTCTGATGTGTAAGTAAGAGTGAACAAGAAGAGACTGACAGTTTCTTTCTTCTTAATTGCTTTGAGAGGAGATATATCATGTTCTCAAAGTCCCTCTGCTCCTTTTGCTACTTATCATAGAACCATAGAAAGTAAGTGCCCCAAAACATCACCTCTACCAATGGCAGAGGTATATATGTAGTATATACAAGGGTGTATGTTTTCTGAGTTACAGTACCAGATGGCATTACCCTCTTTAATCAATAGAGATCCTTGCATTGTAATAAACTCTTATGCTATTTAATTCCTCAGAGCTGTTAGAAAATACTGGAATATAGGTCTATTGATACTTTTTGCCAGATTCTGTTTTCTACATCAAAAAACAAGTTAGTTTTCATCACATTTGTGGTCAAGTCCTTGTCAACTTTGCATATTATAAACCACTATCAGAGGGAGCTGCAGAAATATCAGAAAAGAAGCCCAGAATATTTGCATTGACTGTAATGTTTGTTAATAATCTGTGACTAGCTTCACTATATGCCAGATTCCACTAATATGTTTCTGAGCTTTATCACAGTTATAAACAGGCTTGATGGTTTCAGTAGGTGAATACAGTATTCTTCTTTTCTTATTTTTTTCATACTGCCCAAATCAAGCTCCTGTATGATGAAGTCAAAGCAAGAGAGGTCTACACCTACCTTGATTTATAGCTCTAATATGGAACTGCCTTCATGTCCCTAATATCTCCAAGCTAGCAACAGGAAACAAAAGAAAGGCAGCTTTCCTCCAGATATTTTTCTCTACTATCTTCTGACTGTTCTCCTAGGAGTTGAAATAACTCCTGATAACGCTGACCTAAATGTGTATGTGTGTTAATAAGTGAAGTTATTTTATTTCTGGTATTTGCTTTGACTTTCTGAGTGGTGTCTCCTTTAAGCACTTTAATGGCTGTTTTGGTTGAATTTGTTTGTGATGATATTCAACTTTTTTATCCTCACTGGACTTTCCTTACCATCAGAAGCAATTCCTATGGTGGAAGTAAGTCTGTCTCTGGTATTTTTGCCTCTTGTGTGTGTGATCTCTTCAGGGATTTTAATAAAATCCAGCAAATTGTGTGATCCTCCCTAAAAATATGCATATCTAATGACATATAGAGCAGTAGCTGGTAGACTGAAGAAAATTCTTCATATATCTCAGTGTTGTTTGTGTAGTCCCTGCTGGCAAACAGGTTAGCTCTTTTTGTACAAACTGTGCAATGACCCATACCTCTATCCCACAATATTAAGTTCTCTCAGAAGAATAGTAGATTTTTTGTTTCCTCTAGGCATAACCCCATCAATTCCTTAAATGCTAGACAAATTAGCTTTAACTATACTTTGTAATGTGCTCAAAAATTCAGTTTCCCCCTGATGGTCAGTTCAATGGGGGGGTCACTTCGAACAACTTTTGAATAAGTTTGAGGAGTCAACTCATCTTGCAAAGGGTCTTTGATGTTTGTTTCACTGACTGACAGAACAGAGGGGAACAGTGGAAGGTGCTGAAAAACAGGCACTTCACATCGTTATCTTGTCTAAATGCCTTTTTGGACAGCAGGAGTGTTTGGCAAATTTTTGGTTGTGTGAGTCAAAAGTATGATGTAGCTATTACACCTACTTCGTAAGCCATGCTTCTGGATATACTAATACTGTTACTTTCTCTTAATCTGGAAATTCTCATACCTTTTTATCCCAAGTTTTCTAACC